TGTTTCTATCATCAAGTCCATACTTTCCAATGATTATTCCTTCTTGTTTCCAACTTTCACAACCTGTAATGTTCATTAAAAATATCTAACTCTAATAACTAAGTCTACTTCATTCTTTATTTTGTCTACTTCATTCTTATTAGTCTTCTCATCACTTACATTTTCAAATGTTTACCTGATAACGTTTTTCGAAAAATTTTGGACTACAAAAATCATCCCCCATACGCACTTCATCGAGACTCACTAAATATTTAGACAGTTGACATTTTTTTCCTCTCTCTTAATTTCTCCTGAACTATTTCAAAGCAAGTACAGACATTATATGTAACCTGAGAAGCCTCACCATATACTATGAGCAAAGATTTTAATTTGGCCCGGAATCCAGTGAATATATCACACAGTACATTTGGTTTCCATGTTTCCTTTTTAGTCTCCCAACCTTCTCTCCCAACCTCCTGGACTCATTTCTGCTCTTGATGTAATAACATTGACATATACGAGCCCAGGACAGTTATTCTGTAGAATGTTTTAAATATGGATTTGTGTCTTCAGGATTAGATTCAGGTTAAACATTTTTCAAAAGAATGTTACATAGATAAATATGCTTTTAACTCTCTTCCTAGTGTGTTTTATGTTCTCCAGTAAAGTATAAACAAATCATATGAAAGATTTCCCAAAGAATGTAGTATAATCTCTGTATTTACTGTATTATCAACAAATAAATGAAAAACTCAAAAGCAGAGTTGACACTGCTTCTAAGGATGGCAAATTATGTACTCAATAGTTTTATTCTTGACTAAAAACACACAAGCTGCTCCTCCAAAATTTTTCACATAAATAATTAAGTATGCAGACAGTTTAGGACACTGCCACGTACTGCATGTACAGAATATGTCTACGACAGACCTAAAGCTGACAGCGGAGGAGCAAGCAGGCTAAACTGTGGTGGCTGGAAGGATGAGAGAATCAATACTGTAGTCTTCTATTATATCCAAAAATATTCTGAGTAAACTGGACTTTACATGGAAACTTGGGACAATAGCAGAGTTAATAAAAGTCTTATCTTCAAAATCTTATCTTCACTTAAACAGATATTGATTAGAACTGTTTTCCAAAGAAAAATAAACAGCAAAATAGAAAGTTTAATTCCTATTTAAGCAATAAAGCAGCTGAAAACTGTACACGGTAACAAAAAAATAATGGTATGAAAATAAAAGTGTGTTATATAAGATGGGATTTGAAACCTATTTTTAAGGCACTTAATTTAGTTTAGAAGTGTACATTGAGATGATGCTCACTCGATTGAGGCTGGCATAAAAATGCAATGAGGAAGCAGTAAATAAGGCTTGTTTGAAGAATTGCTTCCATCTAGAACAAGAGATCGGTGAATAATTTAGGTATGGTACCAAACCACACATTGTCACTGAATTGATTCTGACACATAGCCACCCTCTGAGGACAAAGTAGACTGACTCTATATGGTTTCCTATGCTGTACAGGACCTGGTAGAATTTCCTCGTTGTGCACAGGGTTGGAACTGACTTAACAGCACCTTACAACAAAAATTTACCTTTACGGAAGCTAACGGTCATATTTCTCTCTCATGGGTTTGAACTACTGCCTTTTGGGTTAGCAGCTAAGCACTTGAACCACTGTACCACTAGGGCTCCTTCCATGTGGTACATGAGATAGTCTGGGTACATAAGCCATTCCTATACACAAGCTGACATTTTAAAGTCCATGAACAAATGATTACGACCAATCCTCTCCCTTACTCCTAAACTTAAAACAAACATGCTTTAAGTTTTGTTGAGTGGGTAAGGTAGTTAGTTTATTATGCCAACCTGGCCGATAAACACATATAGAGTTAACTGAAAGGCGGAGGGATAAATGGCTTAGTGAGCCTTGCCCTTCTAGTTCTTGGGTCTCTTGCTTTCTGATGGTCGGTCCAGGTGCAACTACCTTAGCCAGTTTCCTGCTTAAGCTGGCAAGGCTCACTTCCTGCAAGACATCCCTGAGGAGAAGCCACATGGACCTACCCCGATGCAGCCCTCAGTGTTGGAGCACCCATGTGGAGACCCCTGCCAGCGCTGAGGTGTTTACACATTCACTGACTCGGCTTTCCTCCTGCAGTCGGCATCATTGCGTCTGTTTTGTGAGCTGGAGGAGGACTTTGTGGACTGGTGTCGGACATATGGGTTAATGTTGGACTTGTGGGCTTGGGCAGCACTGGGTTGGGATGTTTTCTTGATACACACTTAACCTTTATATAAAACTCTCTCTTATACATGAGTTCTGTGGATTTGTTTCTCAAAAGTACCCCAGACTAATACAGTGTGTAATCCAAATATTTTAAAGATAGAATTTGTGCTTTTCTCCCACTGGTTTTTGCTGTTTTTAATAACAACAACAAAAAAACTATTAAAAGAAAATACACTGCTACATGGAGCTTATAAATGTATCTGGTGAGTTTCTGTAGATTTATATTTCAAGCAAAAACAAAAAAGGCTGATGTCACTGTCAGACACAGTCACAGTTACTTGTCAGACAATTTCACAATGCTGGACACAAAACTCTCCTGGAAATTGAACCCAAAGGGTGACATTATTTCTCTAAAAAATGTAACATCTGAAATCATTACGTGAACATTAGAAATGTTCTTTTTACACCAAGATACATTTTAAAAAGTAATAATGTCAGCAGATTTAAAACCTACTAAATACTGTATAAAAACTGAGTACTTAGTGCATTTGCCCTTGAGATGTACAATATTACCTAATGAACAGTTTTTATGACCCACTTAGCTAAATAAGCTCATGTTTCTTCTCATTTACAGAAGAGTTATTTGACTTGGTAGATGGATGTAGATTTTTGTCCAAAAAAAAAATCATTATCATGAATCCTGCAGAGGACAAATAATTACATGGACAAATGATATACAAATACCACTAGACTTTACAGACACTCTCTAACAAGAAAGCCAACATTAGCTCTGTGTATCAGTATTAATTATCTTGCCTCAATATATGCCATATAATGTATTCTGTTAATTCTGTCATAATAAAACAAGTTGACCTATTTCTAAATACAGGTAATGCCTACCTTATAATGGGGTTCCCATCTATCTTAAGGTGGTTTTGAAATAAGTTGAGATCTTTTTTTTGTGTGGCAGATTTCATTATTATTGCCTTTCATTACCAACATCTTTATAAACCTGATTTATGTGTCTTTGGGGGCTGGAAACATTATATATAAACATCTGCCAATAAACACCTGAGAACGATACATCAGCAAATTAAATGATGCAACATTGTCTGTAGAACATAGTACTATTGATGAGAAGTAAAAAACCCACACATACACACAAACCCTGATTGTTCTAAGTAAGGTTCACTGTATCCTGAATATACAGTAAACCAGAGACCACCGGGAGACTAGTACTATTCTAACTATAGAACATCACAAATCCTTTTCTAATAAGGCTATTCTAATATGTTGTTTAAGGAGCCCTGGTCTAGTAGTGGTTATGCATTGGGCTGCTAACTGCAAAGTCAGCAGTTCAACACCACTAGTCGCTCTGCAGGACAAAGACGGGCCTTTCTATTCCTGTATTTCACAGGGGTTGCCTGATTCATAACAGTAGCAAATTACAGTTATGAAGTAGCAACAAAAATAATCTTATGGTTGGGGGGTCACCACAACATGAGGAACTGTATTAAAGGGCTGCGGCATTTGGAAGGTTGAGAACCATTGCTGTAAAGAGTTACAGTGTGGGAAACTCACAAGGACCATTCTAGACTGTCCTATAAAGTTGCTTTGAGTCGGCATCAAATTGATGGCATTGAGTTTGGTTTAGTTTGCTTTGGATGGGTGTTAATAGGGACCCTGATGGTATAGTGGGTTACACAATTGGCTGCTAACCACAAGGTCAGTAGTTTGAAAGCAACAGTTGCTTTAAGAGACAGATAAGGGTTTCGGCTCCAGTAACAAATAGCAGTCTCAGAAACCCCCATGGGCTGTTCTAATGCCCTATAATGTCTCTCTGAGTTGGAATTTTCTCAACAGCATTATAAATATAGTATTTGATTTTAAGTTGAATTGTCATGATTATATTTCCTTTTCATGAGACCCAATTCCTATCCTCTTTACTATTCATAGATAGAACTTTATTTATAATTGCAGTCAAAACTCCAAGTGATGGAGAAAGGTATGCTTTACTGTCATAGAGATGATAAACGTGACTTCATAAAGAGTTTCTCCACTTTTTTTGAAACCATTTTATTAAATTATCTATCTAACATGTCCAGGAATTTGTAAGACAAATTATAGGGAAAAATATATGCCAAAATTCCAGTTCTCTTGGAGTTTATAGCTAATAATTATATAAATTACTAGGTAAGGATAAAATAAGACTTAGGATGCTAGCTACAAAATTGGTCTATATAGATTACAGGTATTTATCAAATAAATATGCCTCTCTTATGAGCTGAGATAATGTAGTGATTTTTATTATGGGGTATTTTGCCAAAAGTATTTTGCATTTTTAAATGGTATCACACCAAAGAACATCATTATTAAAGCCAAGCCATTCATTACTTCATTTACATGACAAAAATGTGAATAGATACTCTGTATAAGCAAATGTGCCAAATAGTTTGAAGATGTAAAGTTATCACAACTTGGTTGGTCCTTCCACGAGGCTTCATTGGAATGTGCATAAAACCAAACCAAATTCTCTGAATTTGATTCCAACTCATAGCATCCCTTATAGTCAGAGAAGAACTGTGCTCCATAGGGTTTTCAATAGATGACTTTTCAAAAATAGGATCACCTTTATTCAGAGGCCTTCCTAGGTAAGCTCGAACCCCCAGCCTTACATTAGCCAACAAGCCTGTTTGCATAACTACCCAGTTTCTAAAGTAAGTATAACTCTCTCTTTGAGGAACGTTTGAGTGGGATGATATCAACAAGTATTTGTGCATTCCTTAAATGGTGTTTACCTGGTCTTGCAGTGACATCACAGGATTATTTTTGGTAGTGTTGATATGAAGGACATGGTACTTATTCTTTGCACACAAGTCATAGGCAATATTGGTAAAAGAGGTGCTTGCAGTTTTGGGGACTCTGTTATAAATGATGACCATGTCCTCTTCCTCATCTAAAACTGTGTCTTGCCGAGGGCCATCCAGTGTATGTCGCTGTTCAATTTCTCGTACTTCATGTCTTGCAATAGCCCTCTCTGCAAAGAAAAACAGATATGAGTTAAGTTTCTGTAAGAGTATAGGAAGTTAAGGCACCTAGTGCAGCTAAACGCAAAGTCAGTAGTTCAAATCCACTACCCACAGTACGGAAGAAAGATGAAGCTACCTGCTCCCTCGAAGATTTATAGCTTTGAAAATTCTATGGTAGATCACTATGAGCTAGAATTAATTTGATGATAGGAAATTTTATGAAGAAGTTAAGAACACTGAACTTTGAACCATCATAATGAAAAATACAAAAGAAATGAAAAACAAGGATAAAAGGCTAAGATACATAAAAATATTGATAACGAGTTTACATTTTCAAGATGAACAATCTAACTGATTTAAAAATAGCTAGCCTGGAAAATAATTTTCTTTTTCAGGACTTGGTGTGAGGAGTTGAAGTACTGTTTTGAAGGTTACACACATGCACACCAAGAACAAAATAACAAATTCGTTATGTTTAGCATATCACAGAGAACAATGTACAGTTCAAAAGTCACTTTACATTCTGAAAGAATTTCTACAGCTTGAATTAATTCTCAAACACACAAAGACAGATTGCATGGAATATTAAACATCACGGTGAAAAAATGCACTTAGGAAATAAACTATTCATAATTTAAAGCAACAATTTTGAACTTTACTATTTAAAATTTAGTTCAGCTCTGGTTTATCAAAATGTGGTAGGATAGTGCATATAAATACTTGTGGGATTTCAGGTAATGAGGTATAAACAATATTCTCCATCTTTCTTTTTGTTGTTGGGTTACTGGTAGGGTTCGCCCATGTTTCTACCATAAATCTATCTCATGGTTCCTCTATTTAAATCACTGCCTACCCTAGTATGCAGTTTTTAAAGCAGTTGTATTTCGCTTCTCCTAACCTCTTACTTAATGTAAACTTCAGCCGCATTTCCCCCAGAATGCAAAAGAAGATACATAGAAGAAATGAAGGGGGACACCTCTAGCAATATTACAAATTAAGTTGTACAAAAACAGTCTATCTCGTGCTTTCGATCCAGAAGTGGCAGTTATACAACATTGTGAATATACTAAATCACTGGAAGGTTCATGTTAAAATGTTAATTTAATGTTATGTACTTTCTCCTCTAGAGAAAAAAATCTGAAAGGTGAAGCATTCTAAAATATAGGTATCATAAACTATGGGCTCATTTTAATTACAACATTAAGCCAATCCTAAGAGGCACCATTATCCCCACTTCGATGAGGAAATGAAATGGCCAAGGAATTAAACAGTCACCAGCTGGGTAATGAGGTTAGGATACCATCCCAGGTCTAAATCCAGTCTGTGCTCCATACCATTCTGACTGTCTGAGATATACTGTATTTCTCTATCGGGATGTGGAGCATCATAGTTAAACATGACATGACATTCTACAGGTGCAAGAGGTTAATGCTCTCAGCTCCTAATTGAAGAGTGGAAGGTTTGGGTCTACCTTGTAGAACCTTAGAAAAAAGGCCTGACAATTAGCTTTTTGAAAAATCAATCATTAAAACTCCATGGAGTCCAGATGTAATCTGACAAGCCTGAGCAGTAAGGTGCCAGAATCAATTCGACAGCATCACATTAGTTACTACAGAAGTACACTTTGGGAGGAACTATCTATTTGAAAAATATAAAACATCATAATTAAAAATCAGAGGTCAGCTGACATCCAGGTTTCATTTTTAACTATTTTAACCTTCAGAAACTGAATATAAACTGAGCTCTGAAAGGGTGAGGGCAGCTTTCAAAAGGTAGACAGTTAATGGAAGAAGGTGTGAAAGCTTGGGGAATGGCAAAAAGTTGATATGCAACAAATACCTTTGTAAATTAGAATCTAGAATTGTCGAACAATAGTGTAAAGGAGCTGCAAAGACATGAGTGCACATTCAGGTGCACTGATGGGCACCTACCTCATTGTCACAGTAACAACTGTGCTGCGGACTTCATTTAACACTTGCAATAATTCTGTGATATTATGCTAAACGCACATTAAACACAAAATTAAGAACCAAGTCAGAATTTAAACTCCCATCTCTGATGGCAAACTTACTTAGTCCTCACTAAATAATTAGCTTTCTTAAGTGATGGGAAGGAATAAGTAAAAAAAAAAATCTGTACCCAATTGCATAGGAATATTGTGTGTTAAATCTGGCATATTTTCAAAGGAACACAAAGAACTAGCGTATATCCAAAAATGGGTATGAACTAGATGGGCCATGCCACAGAATAGTATAGAAAATTGAGTATTTGGAAAAGAAAAAATCTGTAAAAAGAATTAAAAATATCTTGAAATGTATGGTACTTACATAATCTGGTGTCAATTTGAGGATTAAGAGTACAGGGGTGGAGTCCAGACTGTCAATCAGGATATATCCAATGAGGCCTCTGTGTGGGCATGGCCTTCCCCTAAGGATTCTGGGAATTCCTGGATTTCCTTCTTGGAAAGTGGGAGAGACTATCAGCTCACTCCCTGCGAGACATCTCTGAGGAGAAGCCACATGGACCTACCCTGATGCAGCCAGAGCCCTGGGGGATGGAGAAGTTATGTGGAAACCCTGCCAGCACTGAGATGCTTACAACGCCACTGGATCCAAAGACTTTCTACCCACTGGCCTGTGATCTTCCTGCATTCAGTGTTATTACATGAGCTTCGTGAGTCTGAAGAGAACTTTATAGATTGGTATCGGACATAAGGGCTAATACCGGGCTTATGGACTTGATCTGGACCAGGCTGGGATGTTTTCTCAATATTCAATTGCTATTGTATATAAGCCTCTTTCTTATATACATATGCATGTTAATGAATTTGTTTCTCTCGTCCACTCAGACTGGCACAAAATGTTTAAAAAAATATTGTGAAAAGGAGGCTTCTTTTCTGTAGACGACATCAGGAAGCCAAGTAAACTGTGGCTCAGGAAAGAAAAGCCTCTCCAATAATTTAGTAGTGCACAATATAGACAACAGTTTAGAGCAGTGGTTCACAACCCTCCTAGTGTCACGACCCTTTAATATAGTGCCTCATGTTGTGGTGACCCCCAACCATAAAATTATATTCATTGGGTAAACCCTGTGAAAGGGTCATTCGATCCCCAAAGGGGTCGCACCCCACCAGTTGAGAACCACTGGTTTAGTGGCTGCTATCAAGCTCTCAGGATACAGAGGTAAAGGAAAATCCACCAAGGAGTTGTGCCTAATGAAATTCTGCTCTCATGAGCACAAAAACCAGGTGACTTCTGAGGTTCGGGACCACTAGATAAAATCCTTAAGGCTTTGATATGTTTTTCTTCTGCAGTGTTTATATGTCTGTGTAGGACTCCTCCCAGCTGAGGAACAAAAATGTAGGAAAAAGCAGAAATACAGATGGAAACACACGGTGACAGCGAGTGGGAAAGGGGAACAGAATGCTTACATGCTCTCCCATAATCCTAGTTTACTCAGTTATACCCAGATGTATTTTTGTCTGTCCTAAGACAAAGAATATCTCTGATTATTGCAGTAAGAATTCAAGTAATTGGAAGTATCATACTGTATTATGTGGCTTTGAGTAACGAGAATGCTGTGATAATTTACAAACCCAAATTCTTCACATTATCATTATTAACCAATTCCAAAACATTTACTGAAAATATGTAAATTTACAAATATTACACAAACTCTTAGAGATAAAACTATTGTTGGGGAGTTTGGCAATAAAGTATTATAACAGTTGATACAAGATTCAATGGCAGTCCCAAAGCGGAATATTAACAGAAGGATTTAGAGGAAGTGGCCAAGAAAAAGTACTTCTAAACAGACAAAGAAACACATTCCTGGCAAAGAGAAAACCATGAGCAAAGCTCTCAGTGGCATGATGTTACACGAGGCCCTAGAAGTGGATCTCATGAGCTGTAACACAGAAGACAGGTAAAGGTAACGTAAGATGTGAGGGTAGAGAAGTAGGCCAAGGCCAGATCAGAGGATCTTAATCACTATACAGAAATTTAAGTTGTGTGTATAGGTCAAATTTATTGGGCTCTGAACCTCTTTATGTGCTTAAAAACTACTAAGGACCGCAAACACATTTTGCTTAAGGGTCACATATATAAACAGCATATTAAAACTAAAAAATATTTTAATATTAATCCATTTAAAGATATTATAAAACCTTTATGTTAGGACAAATGATATTTTCTGCCAAAAAAAATTCCCAAACAACAAAAAAAATTTTTTTAGTAAAAAGAGTAACTTTATTTTGCATCTTTGTAAATATTTTTAAATGCCTGGCTTAAGAGAAGACAAATGAATTTTATCTGTTTTGTGATTCAAAATGCTACCATTATTTTGGTTAGAATCTGTGATTCTGAAAACTGAGCTCCCACAGATATTGTTAGAAGGAGATGGTTTTTTGGGTAATTGGAAATATTCTTTTTGATATTTGCATTAAAACTCAACAAGTGGTAGTATCTTTAATGTAATTACTAAGTGATATGAAACCTTATTATTTTTTAATACACTGATATATTGATCTGGAACTGGTCATGTGGAAAAATCTGGTCGACAGAATTATGTAGGTCTTCCTTGTTAATCCATTTAATTATACTCACCTCTTAAAATTAAAAAAAAATCACAGTCACATTATCTCCAATCTCATCAGGAAAACCTCTGCCTTCAAGTATCAGGGTGCTGACACATTCATTACAAAAAACTATACAAGTTTTCTTAATTTTAATTGGCAACACATACTGTCTTTCCCCCCCTTGAAATGACAGGTTCTTTTTTGAGAAAATATTTGCCAACTAATAGTGTTCTTTGAATTGAGTGGCTTGTTCAGCTTGCAATAATCACACAAGTGTTTCTTTAAGACAAACCGTTGTACTCTAATATGTAGCAGAAGTGCTTAGCGTACTTTCCATTTTATATGGTTGGCAGTTTGAAACTAAGAGCAACTCCGAGGGAGAAAGGCCGGGCTTTCTACTCCGGTAAACAGTTATGGAATCTCACGGAGGGG